GACCACGAAAGTACCTTTGATTTTTCTGGGTCACTTCGAAAATTAATTTTATAACGGTAAATATAGAGAAAAACGTGGTTTCATGGATTTTCCATTTGAAACTTGAATAACTTATTTACTTTATAACGGATTTATATTATTCTTTTTTTTATTTCGAAGAGTAAAATTTTTCCTTTCAAACAAGATATATATTTGGTAAATCGGTTGAGGATTGGCTGAGTTACAGCGGTTGAAATGTGAAAAAATACGCATAAAATGACAAAATTTATTTTTCTTCGGACTGTACGATGAAATTATGATATCAAGCCATATAAATTTTATTATATTACGGGAAAGAAAATTAAATTACCTTTCGAAAATGATAAAAATCAAAAAAATCGGTTAAAAAGTGGATGACTTATACACATTTTTGTATTGATTCTATGCATATTCCCGATGTACCAAAGATATATCTTGTTTGAAAGGAAAAATTGTACTCTTCGAAAGAAAAAAAGAATAATATAAATCCGTTATAAAGCAAATAAGTTATTCAAGTTTCAAATGGAAAATCCATGAAACCACGTTTTTCTCTATATTTACCGTTATAAAATTAATTTTCGAAGTGACCCAGAAAAACCAAAGGTATTTTCGTGATCCAGGGACTCCAACTAAACAGAATTGGTACATTAGAACCCCTGAAAAAAATTTTTTTGTTATTTTGTAGCACAGTGTTATTTTCGTCGATGTTAATGATCGCATTATTAGTATTAGAACATACACATATTTTATGAAATTAGAAGTTTTGATCTAACTAACTTAAAACTAACCTATGTGTTAGAAAACAACGATTTATTTAAACATTAAAGCTCGACACAAAAATTAGGGGATTGTAAATATTACTTAATATGTTTGTTTTGGTGGACTCTCATAATTAGTTTGCATATTTTCCTATTCTGACCACATACGATTTATAAGTCCTTTGAATCGCCAAAACCGGTATAGACGTTCTTGAGTTATAAACGATGTAAATAACACAACGTTCGATTATTCCAATTTCCCGACTTTTTGATGTTTTTCTCAACATTTTCTTCGTAAAAAACTTCCCAATGTCATTTCAAACAGCCGAAGGAAAGCGTGAGTGAAATCGGTACAGTCAATATACCATGCAAACATTATTCACATCCTTATCCTAAAGTACTTGGAAAGTACTAACAAAATATCCACTTAATTGCCTTTAATTCGGTATTCCCCATAGTGTAAGAAACTTCCCTCTTAATTGCCGGTATAGTTTTTGGTATAGGCTCCACATAATGGAACAGCTTAATCTTTACTTTACCATGTCTTAGTGTGTTTTATTTGAGAACATTTTCACAACCTATACAAAGCATGCACATTTCTTCACATAACATAACTTATATTTTCAAATTAAATTAATATTGATTTTATGGAAAACGCAAGCAAATAATGATAGCGATTAATCTTACTCTCTCTCTCTCTCTTTTCGATTTCTTATTATTTAATTTAACCCTAATGAAAATATAAATTTATTTTCATATACAATAGTTATTTCAAGGCAATGACAATTCAATTAATTGTATAAAATTAACATATTTTGAGAATTTTCCATAATTGACAATTACTTAAAGATATACGCTGCCCATTTTCGCCCAAAATATGGCCAAAAAGAACTACAAAGAGATGAAACGATAAAGGTTCGATATAAAATGTATGGAAATGCTAATATCTTTCAAAATATATTTTGCAACATTTTCGCGGATTTTTCTCAAAATATTCTTTCATTAAAACATTTCCACTTCAATTACAGACTACTAACAGAAATTTTAAGTCAAATCCGTCCAGCCGTTTCTTTTAAATAATATTTGCAACTGTAATTACTGACAACTGAAAGAAATTTTGAGTCAAATCGCTACCAACTGATTAAATTTTTTCTCAAGGTGGCTTGTTCCATCAAATCAAAATATATTAAAATTTAATTAGAATGAAAATTATGTTTTTAACGCGTCGGTCTGGAAGTAATTACTTTGTTAAGGATGAAACAAATATTTCATGGTATTCCCTATTGGTTTTTGGAAAAAATAATAACCGTTCATTTTTCGCGTTTTTAGTGATGTGTTGAAAAAATGTCAAATAAACACAGCCACTTGTTATGTATATTTATTTTATGTTTGGCAGAGGAAGCCATCACCTACATAGTTGTTTTTTTGTTATTCAACTCAAGCTGCCCTACCTTGTATTATTGTACAATATGTTATAGTTTATTTATAGTTATAGTGCATTTACACTGTACTTAATTTCATTAACCCTGCCGATTCAATTTATTAATTCCATTGCATATCTGTCAGATAAATTCTCATAAAGTAAAATTACATTTACATATACGATTTTAAATCGACTCGATTAACGAAATCCAGAAATATCCCTTAATTGTTTACACATACCTTTGAGCATGACCTAAATAAAAATCAGCCGATGTTTGTTTGTAAACACACAAAATTATAAATTTACGCAAAAAATATTAATAAATATTAATACAAATAACATGTGAAAACATGTGCAAATATTCGGGTATGTTCTGGAATTCACGGTGTGTTCTTTACACTTCACACATACACCCCAGAAGTTAGCTCCTGTTCTGTTTCTCATGTGAATGGAAATGTTCGAACTGCGATAAAAATAAACGTTGATTTTGTGATTGAATTCAGTGAAAAGTGAAAAGAATTCACTTCAAACGGGTGTAAAGTGTGTTACAGAACAGCTCGACGTGTGTTCGATACACTTCTACCGTTGAAGAACATGTCCGGTTGGTTCATTGTGGGAGATATTTATGTTTTGGTACAAAAACAGCGTTGCATCTAATTAGTATCATGATTTCAAATATCCCAAAGGTAGGAGCATTATGTGAATTTGTGAAATTATGCATTTTGAGCATCAAGGGAAAAAACATCTTGATTCATTAAATGCATTTTTTTACTGAATTTACCATCATGTCAGAATTTGGTTTGGAGCGACTGCTTTTTACGATACAATAGCGAATTTAAACATTTACTTACTTATAATTGTTTTATTACATGTTTTTTATACATATATAAATAAATAAATTTTTATGATATATACATTTATGTATATATATATATATACATTTATGTACGTATTTGGTTTGGGCATTGGACATTATGGACTAAAAAACGTTCAGTCAATGAAAAACATTAAACTGTAATAATTTGAACCTAAATATTTTGATAATGCTAAACTTATACATATCATCAAAATTCACACAAAAATTACAATAAGCATTTTATATTCTAAAATAGATGTAGAGAACACAGGGTTATGCTATTCCCTAAACATTAGCACACGCTATAAGCAATGGTAAAATAAATTTGACATGTATGACACAAAGATAGAAAAATTATCATTGTATAGCGTTTAAATTATTGATGTTTAATTTATTGGATTTATTAGGAATTTATGAAAGTATAGTTTTTAAATCTAACACATTTAAAGGACTAAAATGCTTGATTATTATATATACTCACTAAATATAATAACATGACAATGAACATTTGAAAATGTTCTATAAAAAAAGGTATTAACTGGAATGTTTCATCTAGGATATGGAATAATAATAAATAAACTACCAACACTCAGTACAAAATCATAACAAATTAGAATGAAGGATTTCAACGACTAGAATAATTAAAATATCTTAACTTACTAACACTGTTACATCTCATTCTTAACTAATATATTCGCAATCTCCGATTTCACTTTGCGATAAAAATATGTAATAACAAATTTACCTTTAGGTTTTCTCGACTACCTACAGATGATGAATCAAACTTATTTGAACTCAACGACTTGTCATGTCTTCATCTTTGAAATTCAATACATTTAATTAAAATTTAATTGACACTAAAAACAAATATATTAACTATATTATTATATTATACACGTATTTAGTTTGTGAACTGTATTTTGTAATTCCTGAAACAATGTTCCGACTTAAGGATGTGCCTGGATGTCAGTTACTGTTATCCTTTGTACCTACATTTAATACTAGTACTAGTACTTGATTTACTTAGTGTTATCTCTATTTTCAGATTTCTAATTTCATATTAGATCTATCGGAGATGGTATACAAGTTGAGGGGATCTGGAGCAACAATTACCTACCAAGTGGCTAGGCAATTCTTTGGGCAGAACTAATAGATTGTATGGCCTCTGTTGATTGTACGACCTCTTATAAGACCAAGATTTATTAATAAGGTCACCCAGCCAGCGAAAGTCGGCTGTTTTTCTCAAGTTTAATGCCAACAAATTTGAACTTTGTTTATGTTTTTACAGTGGAAGTCATTTCACAATAATGGATTTTGACAGCAAACATGAGAGGCAGCTGATATCCAGCTGGTCTCCCTGGGTGACCTTATTTATAGGCCTTGTATAAGGCCTTTTTTATAGACATATATTATTAAACTGGTAGTAAAAACGCAAAACACACTGAAATGTATCAGTGGAAAAAGAAAAATGCTTATGTACTTCTTCGGTTTTGGGTCTTCATTTGAAGAGTTTAGTCCCAACTTCTAAGGAATGTCTGTAGTAGATGATTTACAAAATATGCATCACTACACTCACATTACACATCACATTAGTTTTCGTCTATACTTTGTTCATCTTCATTGCTACTTTTACCATGGCCTTGCTTTTAAACCTAGTGTGTGTTTTTTTAATTCTTATTTACTTAATTTATATAATTGTCGTGGATTTTCTATATTATATGTTTTTTGTCAATTATTCTTGATTACTGCATAGAATAACTATTTTACTGGTTTGTTTAGATTCCACTCACATGGGACGATTGAAACCACATATATCCATATACACACGTATATATATTAACATATACTGAAAATTGACTTTGGTGCTTTGTACTAGATATGGCACTATGTACACTGAAGTTAGGCAGGGCCTCTTTACGGAAATTATCCAGCAAAGGCGGTTTATAACCAGTTACGTTGGGGCTATAAGGCATCATTGTGACTTTTTGAAAGAGATGTCTCGATTTGATCGATGCGTCGAAATGATGGCACATACGAACCACTTGTCTGAGTAACAATGGAATTATTTGAGGAACTCTGGAAACAAACAGATGTGTAATTATACAATTCGGTATATTTAATGGTCTTCTTTTACCTTTTTCTGACGGTAAGAACGTCCTCGAACTCGTGTCGTATTACGCCTGACTGGGTTGTTGACAGTGGCCTTTTGCGAAAGTCGGACTGAACTAAATGTGCTGCCCCTATGGCCACGGCGTATTTGTGGCGAGGGTGTCCCAGTAGCTATTATAGAACATCTGTCAGGAATCATGTTTGAACGAGAAAATGAAATACTTACGAGTTCCGGCTAAGTTTGTGCTCCGCTTGGATGCCTGGAGCATTCCAAACACTACAGCGCTGAAGGAACCATGATGTGATGTTTGACGCTGCAAGTTGGGAGTTTGTGTCATGGGAACACCGGCAGGCATATGGACCGGTGAGGGTAATTGACTCTCGGACACACCGCGAGGATGGACGAAATATGTTGTCATTATTCCTTTGCCCTTCACGTTGATGTCTCCTCGCTTCACACAAGTGTAGCCCTTTTCTTTGAGCAATTCGGCCGTGCTTTCCGGCACTTGAATGCGCCAGTTTTCTCCCGTAGAATCCATGCGTGACGCCACGTTTACCGTATTGCCCCAAATGTCATAGACTGGCTTACGGGCACCAATAACACCACTGACCAGCGAACCACTACAAATTCCCACTCGTAGTTGGAAATTGTTGAAAGCCTCCTTGTTGATATCCTCCAATTTTTGCTTCATTGCAAAGGCAAATTCAACCAAGCTGCAGACACTATCCTCAGAGGTCTCACCGCGATCCCTTAAGCGATCGGCATTAAGACCGGAAGCTGCCATATATGTTGCACCAACCGTTTTAATTTTTTCAATTGAGGCGAATCGTGGCTCCTCCAACAGCTCATCAAAGTCACCTGCAAAAATTCAATTTGCCAAATAAGGGCCCCCTTTTCAGACACCAACTATTTTTTACGACTTACAAATAATTTCATTCAGGATTCGTATGCATGCCTTTCCATTGTCGATATCCTCCGAATAGAAATCTTGGAAATTTGGAATGGATGCAAACATTACGCCACACAAGTTGTGATTGTTGGAATATAGCTCGTCGGTGTGTTCATCCGATAGATAGTATTCGGCCACATGATCCGGTAGGATATTCTATTAATTAAGAAAAGTGCTTATGTATAATATACTGACGATCATAGAAACAGATGTCCCCATACCTTAATTAAAGTGTCATTTAAAGCTCGATTCGATTTCATATTGATTAATTCTCTTTCGGCTTGTTCTTTCCAGATAAAATCCAAGCGTGATGTAACCTGTTTGAATGGAAAAGTAATAAGTATAATCATTGATGAAAGAGCACAGTATGTCATGGCATAATTACAGAGAAATTAATAATGGCAACCCTTTTTTAATTGTTTGTAAATGATTAATATTGCTCTTAAGATATAACTATAGATGTTACAAATTATATTTATAGATTATATAGGCGGGAAACTTCAAGATGTTCAACGTTTTGTAATTATTGCCACTGAACTCGTGTTGTGCGTACATTTCGAAGGAGGATATTTTTATTTAAGGGTCGCACAGTGTCACGACCGCGGCCAAAAATGGTCAAACCCAACTTCCTCGGAGGACAAGTTTAGTTACGAGAATTGATACAAAATACTCCAATTAGGATAAATATGAAATTTGGTATTGATACGTTAATTAGTTTTGTCTGTTCAAGGGTTCAGATCGAAAAATGGGTGCAGTTTTCTGGTGATAAAATCTTTGAATATTTAAATGAACGGTTATTATAAAAGTGTTTATTTTGGTTGCTAGGGATGTTAAAAACTATGATACACTGTTTTTTATGTAAATAGAGACGATATGTTCTTTACAGCTATCCACACCTGTAGTACTTATTTCATAAAATTTGTAAACCAAATTTTTAAGTTAGTGAAGTAGAACAAAAAGTTAAAAAAAGGTTTCGTCCTAGTTTTTATACCCTTCACCACACTGTGGTACAGGGTATTATGTCTTTGTGCGTATGTTTGTAACAGGCAGAGAGAAACGAGATAGACACAGGTTCCTTTTGAGAATATGCATAGAATCACTTTTTAAGTCGATTTATGCATGTCCGTCCGTCCGTCTGTCTGTCCATATTAAATTGCAAACAAAGTACAGGTCGCATTTATGATCCGAATTGAATGAAATTTGGCATAGGTCAAAATCGAAAATTGGGAAAAATCGGTTCAGATTTAGATATAGCTCCCTCATATATATATATATATATATATATATGTATATATTCGTCCGATTTAATGTAAATGGTGTACCAAAGTCCTTATATATCTCTCGATTTGCACGAAATTTGGTACAGCGTACTGAATTAGGTCTAGAATGATGTGTGTTAAGTTTCCTGAAAATCGGTCCAGATTTAGATATAGCTCCCATATATATCTTCGTCCGATTTAATGTAAATGGTGCACCAAAGTCCCTTAATATCTTTCGATTTGCACGAAATTTGGCACAGCGTAATGAATTAGGTCTATAATAATGTGAATGAATTGAATGAAATTTGGCATAGGTCAAAATCGAAAATTGGGAAAAATCGGTTCAGATTTAGATATAACTCCCATATAAATATATATATTCGTCCGATTTAATGTAAATGGTGTACCAAAGTCCTTATATATCTCTCGATTTGCACGAAATTTGGTACAGCGTACTGAATTAGGTCTAGAATGATGTGTGTTAAATTTCCTGAAAATCGGTCCAGATTTAGATATTGCTCCCATATATATATTCGTCCGATTTAATGTAAATGGTGCACCAAAGTCCCTATATATCATTCGATTTGCACGAAATTTGGCACGGCGTAATGAATTAGGTCTATAATGATTGTGTTAAATTTTGTGAAAATCGGTTCAGATTTAGATAAAGCTCCCACATATATCTTCGTCCGATTTAATGTAAATTGTGTACCAAAGTCCCTATATATCTTTCGATTTGCACGAAATTTGGCACAGCGTAATGAATTAGGTCTATAATAATGTGAATGAATTGAATGAAATTTGGCATAGGTCAAAATCGAAAATTGGGAAAAATCGGTTCAGATTTAGATATAGCTCCCATATAAATATATATATTCGTCCGATTTAATGTAAATGGTGTACCAAAGTCCTTATATATCTCTCGATTTGCACGAAATTTGGTACAGCGTACTGAATTAGGTCTAGAATGATGTGTGTTAAGTTTCCTGAAAATCGGTCCAGATTTAGATATAGCTCCCATATAAATATATATATTCGTCCGATTTAATGTAAATGGTGCACCAAATTCCCTATATATCATTCGATTTGCACGAAATTTGGCACGGCGTAATGAATTAGGTCTATAATGATTGTGTTAAATTTTGTGAAAATCGGTTCAGATTTAGATATAGCTCCCATATATATCTTCGTCCGATTTAATGTAAATGGTGCACCAAAGTCCCTTAATATCTTTCGATTTGCACGAAATTTGGCACAGCGTAATGAATTAGGTCTATAATAATGTGAATGAATTGAATGAAATTTGGCATAAGTCAAAATCGAAAATTGGGAAAAATCGGTTCAGATTTAGATATAGCTCCCATATAAATATATATATTCGTCCGATTTAATGTAAATGGTGTACCAAAGTCCTTATATATCTCTCGATTTGCACGAAATTTGGTACAGCGTACTGAATTAGGTCTAGAATGATGTGTGTTAAGTTTCCTGAAAATCGGTCCAGATTTAGATATTGCTCCCATATATATATATTCGTCCGATTTAATGTAAATGGTGCACCAAAGTCCCTATATATCATTCGATTTGCACGAAATTTGGCACGGCGTAATGAATTAGGTCTATAATGATTGTGTTAAATTTTGTGAAAATCGGTTCAGATTTAGATATAGCTCCCATATATATCTTCGTCCGATTTAATGTAAATGGTGCACCAAAGTCCCTTAATATCTTTCGATTTGCACGAAATTTGGCACAGCGTAATGAATTAGGTTTATAATAATGTGAATGAATTGAATGAAATTTGGCATAGGTCAAAATCGAAAATTGGGAAAAAATCGGTTCAGATTTAGATATAGATCTCATACATATTTTAGTCCGATTTTATGTAAATGGTGTACCAAAGTTCTTATATATCTCTCGATTTGCACGAAATTTGGTACAGCGTACTGAATTAGGTCTAGAATGATGTGTGTTAAGTTTCCTGAAAATCGGTCCAGATTTAGATATTGCTCCCATATATATTCGTCCGATTTAATGTAAATGGTGCACCAAAGTCCCTATATATCATTCGATTTGCACGAAATTTGGCACGGCGTAATGAATTAGGTCTATAATGATTGTGTTAAATTTTGTGAAAATCGGTTCAGATTTAGATATAGCTCCCATATAAATATATATATTCGTCCGATTTAATGTAAATGGTGCACCAAAGTCCCTTAATATCTTTCGATTTGCACGAAATTTGGCACAGCGTAATGAATTAGGTCTATAATAATGTGAATGAATTGAATGAAATTTGGCATAGGTCAAAATCGAAAATTGGGAAAAAATCGGTTCAGATTTAGATATAGCTCCCATATAAATATATATATTCGTCCGATTTAATGTAAATGGTGTACCAAAGTCCTTATATATCTCTCGATTTGCACGAAATTTGGTACAGCGTACTGAATTAGGTCTAGAATGATGTGTGTTAAGTTTCCTGAAAATCGGTCCAGATTTAGATATTGCTCCCATATATATTCGTCCGATTTAATGTAAATGGTGCACCAAAGTCCCTATATATCATTCGATTTGCGCGAAATTTGGCATAGCGTAATGAATTTGGTCTAGAATGATGATTCTCAAGACCCAAATCTTGGTCCGATCTATTCAATTTTTTGTCACTTGCTCTTTAGGCCAATAGTAAGCACTTGCACCAAATTTCATCTACCTACGATAACTCCTATTTGTGGCCGCTGATAATATGAACTCGCGACATACTGGGTCGTACCTAAATCCATGCGTATGCGTACGATTTTATTCACCTCAAAAGTTAGATAAATGTATTTCAATGAATTTCAATTTCAATGAACATTGACAATGCATATTTTGGATTTTTTGTTTTTTGAAAATAGAATTTCAGTCATTGAAAAAAATTGTTTTTCTATAAATGTAAACATTTTTCGGTTATTTTAGAAAACGCTTTCATCCATTTTCGCCATTTTCAATAGGCACACGAGTAAAAAGGGCCCTTACGTATTTCGGTAATACGGACATTCAACAAATCCTATAAAGGTGAAAAGGTGGGTTTTTTTAGAACGCAACGCACTGAATTTAGGTACGGGCCTAAACACGGCTAGGGCTCGAACTTCGGTCCTCAGCAACACAAATGTTCTGAGCCATCAACACACTTTCAAAGCGGTTGCGCAAAAACATAATTATCCATCGCTACGACAAAAAATGAAGACAAATGTCGAACATTGACAAATTTGAATTTAATTCCCATATGCAAGTTTCGCATAAGGCCGAAGTTATCAACATACGACCTTTGTAAAGCCACATAGCCCAATATGCCTGATTAGCCGCTTAATCAACGGCAAAACGCGTCGCATAATGGTGGGTTCGTAGGTTCTTCTCCTGGCTTTTCTTTCATTGCAAAACATAGATCATTAAGCTCGACTCGAAAGAGTATAAATAATCACTTAAAAATTACTTTGGAATGATCACTGCCCTTACAAGGCAAAATTATGAAAAAATTGAAATCATAAGTCTGCATGAGACTACCTTGTGCAATTATGCCATGAAATTATGTTATGCCGATTTTGGCGTAAAGCACATGAACACAATAACAAAATATCCACCTTCAAAGAAGCTTTCTTCGTCGATATTTCGATACAAGTATATTTGTATCCAGAATTTTTTGAGTGAGGAACTGTTGGAAATTTCTGAAATTAGAAAAATGGTTCTGATACACGGAGAGTACCTAAAACTGCATGGATATTATCTTACAACGTTTGTTGGTAGCTTAATGAAAAGAAAACAATAATAGCGTATCTTACCTCCACCAAACGTGCATGGTAACACACCATTACCAAGAATGATGCCAACAGTATCAACATTTGCACACCTAATGGCATTCCCAACCGCGATTGTTCCAATTCAATCAGTTCTTTGGTGTAGATCCGTGGAAACACCAATTGTATGAGGGTGGTGTAGAACGCCACCATACAAACGGCCATAATAACCTTGACCAAATAGTAAAGTTTGAGCGCTGTTGCCAGTGAAACTAGGCAGAGAATCCATGTAAACACAATATATTCGGGGTGGGCACACTCCACCGAATCCACATTGGATGGGTCTATGTAGATCACAGTGTAATTGGAATCGGTGATCATACTGTTGTTATTGATGAAACTGCTGTTGGTGTCATCCGTTCGCTGACCACCAAGTACCAATGAACGATGAGATGATTCAAAGGATTCCATTGAATTGTTAAAGAGACCGATGGCATTACTTTGGGTCAGATTAAGAACGTTCACAATACTGCGTCGAACAAAGTCATTGGTCGAGGCATTTGCCAAATTGTCGGCCAAGAAGGCATTGGTGTCCACAATGGCCCCGGCCCCGTTGGCTGCGTTTATTGTAATGTTGTGGTGTATGGTGGCCGAAAGATAAACATTTACTTTGATCTCCTTTTCGCCATTGCCAAGTGATGTGGCACTACTACCATCGGGCGCTGCCGCCTTCAAGCTACTGCTCAGAATGGAACGTTCATTGCCTTCATCGGTGTTGGGAATGCCGTCAAAATAGGCCGATGATGGGCACAGAATAAGACCAATGGCACTTAGAACTGTGATTAGAACAATAACCGCACAAATAAAATAAGTTCGACGTTGGCGCTGGTGTACCAACTTGGCGGAATTGCGTTTCAGTATGGTGGGTAGACCTAAAAGAGTATAAAGCGTGAATAGGAGTTAGGAGTAGCCATCAAAACACAAGTTTACTGTTGTCAGTCATACTTACCGGAAAATTCCTCTGCCATGACTAGTATGCAGCTAAATGTTAAAACGATCGTACCGATCGCCAAACAGATAACTAGGTTCGTACAACGCGGTATGATGATAATTTGACACAATACAATAAATATCCATATCACAAAAACGCAGAGCATGTTGGATCTGCAATAATACACCTATTCAACTGAAATTCGACTCTAGATAATGGTTGTCATGTGCACTTACCGGAACATGTCTTCACGCAGTTGGCAGAATTTCAATTCCTGTTCCCGGTCCTTGAATTTGAGAGTCCACGAACTGAGATATTCTTTTCGAATTTCCTTGTTAGAGTTTATTTGAATGTTTTGTTCGATGAACTCATCAATCTGTGGGGAAAACAGAGAACAATTTTTAATTTTTTGTACAAAAAATATACAATTTTACGAACCTCTTCGTCTAGCGGCGTTACAGATACCCGTTGACATTGCCTGGGATCGCCCATCACTGAATCGGCTCGTATAACACCTTCACTGGGTGAGTTGAGCTGAAATTGTAAGAAATTGCTGATGGTAAATTTCCAAATGCCAGAACATCTACGAAGATTATTAAATTAATACCACTTAACAACATTTCTGAAACAAACCAAACCCAAACCTTTAAATATCTCATTATTTAAATATCTCCAAATAAACGACTCATATAACACTATATCTCAAATTTCGGTATTTTGGAGAGTTTGTGAACTTGTTTCAACTAAATTGGCTGTCATTTTATATTTTGAATTCTTATTGAGTAGGAAATCTCACTAACCCTTTACAATGGTACCCCCATTATTCGGTATTTTGGGTGCGGCTTGAATACGTTTTTCAATTGAAATGGCTCTATTTTTCATTATTTTGAAGGCTTCAGCCGCATTTCCCACCGACGTGGCTGTAACTTGGTGCAAAGGGATCTTAAAGGCTGACATACATACATATGTATAGAAAATGATAGCCCCATATAAGGGTAACATTCCATTGTCAGTATTTTAAAGGTTTTAGTCACATTTTTTCATGTTATTGGCTATAAACTGGTATTATTAAATATATTAAATGTTGAAATTCCTTCCCCAGCTCTCCAACCTGAGTTTCTGTAATTTGAAACATTATTTTAAGAGCATGAACAATCTACTACCACATAATGCAATAACATAGTCCCTATATAAAGGTCAGAACGATTTAAGGAATTTGGAATGCACACAATTGGGTTTTCCTAATTTTCTAATTTCATTTTAAACATTTCTTGGAACAAACAGGAACCTTTAATTTAACTCTAGGGAGCTATAGATTATTGAAACTACATCACAACTGATCTTAAATTTTTGTATTCCATGAAAACTTCTGGTATTCTTAAAAATAAAATCCTCATGTTTTATATAAATTTGGGAACTGTACATCCCCATTACAATTAAATCACATACATTTTTGAAAGGAATTTCTGGAGTCCATTCTGTTGTGGGCTCATCTTCAGTTATCATTGATCGCGGGTCTATATTCTCCAGAATATTACGAATACTATCGCCATTCGGCGCTTTTGGGGCCAAGGCAGCTATCGGCGATGATACCGTGGAAGGTCCCGTTGGTCCCATAGCAACACCCTCCATCACATTGGGCAATGAACTCAGTGATATGTTTTTCTTTTGCAGCACAGCAACCGGAGGGAGGTGAGGTGGGTTCTGGGCTTGCTGTTGTTGTGGCTGGGAATTGGTTCGCGACAGAGCTGGCGGTAATTGAGATGGCTGCTGTTGTTGTGACGGCTCATTGTGAACACCGGTTGTCGATATGGACTTGGGGACAAGTGTTTTGGTGTCAGTTGTCGGAGTCATAGCTGTAGTTGGCGTACTCATATTGCTGCCATTGTTATTAGCCAGATGTTGGCTGCTGCGGGTGCCAAATCGACGTTTAGGTCTGTAGGAGAGATTTATGTGTGTGACATATTAATATTAGTGTGTATCTATGAATAATTTGATGTTTACTATTAGAAACACTGTTATTGGAATGCTCAATCTGAAATGTTTTTTAATTTAATTTAGAGATTGTGTATTTTAAAATATCATCAGTCCTAGAATTATTGTACTCTCTCTCGATTTAAAATCAAGCACTATTACCATCCACCTTAGTGTGGCCGCTCATGCTGACATACATACTTGCTGATACATACCTTAATGGTTCAGTGCGTTTGATTAAATACGTTTTAATATTTAACATTTTCAGATGGTTGTCACGACTACCACCATTGCCTGGCTCCACTTCATAGGCATCATTGAGGCACTTGAGGGTGGCTTCCGATATGTGTACGCGCCTAGAATGCAGTTAAGTGTAATGTAATTTGAGCATAACTTTCATTAAAACAACAAGGGGGAGTATGTGGGATGTTGGCGCAGGAGTTGTTTATGCCATGCAGTACTTACCCAGGTATTCCACCCGATTCCATGTGATTTGCAATGATAACATCGTTGGACCAAACATCGAAATGCCATTTTTTATTGCCCAGTACACCGCACATTACAGAGCCACTATGAATACCGATTCTCATGTTGAGATCAACCTGTGAACAATTGTGAGAATCTTCATTGTTGATATTTGTAGCATGTTACATAAATATAAATGGGGAAAATAAGGTGTTATCCTCGTTATCTACACGAAGTAAATTGTTCGCGTGTATTGTATGTTGTAAAAAATTGAGGAAAAGTATTTTGTGATAATAAAATGAATGAAAAAGTTGCATATATCCATAAATATATTCAATTATACCCCAGCTCAACAACTTAACACTTTCAGACCCAGCGTAATCAAATATGAGATCTGACAATTGTTAAGAGTAGTTAGTATAAAAATGTGTATGGGGAGGGGCGTGTGATAATTCATTTTTATTGGTTAAGTATGGCTTTGTTATGCCTTTAAGACATAAAAGATAAAAAGAAAGGGTTAAAGTACCACACGTAGCGTAAAGCATCTTATTGATGAAAGATAAAAACGCCATATTTACCCACCATTCTGTCCATGTGGTGGTAATATATAATTAATTCAAAAGCCAGAGCTATAGAATTAATCAACCGTCTTCATAAGGAAATCTCTATCTCTATATATATAAAAATTACGTGTATGTTCGTGATCGCTAAACTCAAAAACTACCGCACCGATGTTGACCAAATTTTATGTACAGGCTCTATGGGTCGTGAGAAGTGTTTCTGTGTAGTTTGAAGTTCATCCGACAGATGGCGCAATATTTATTTTTTTTGTGTTTTTGCACCGTAACTCAAGAACCACTGCACCGATTTTGACCAAACTTTATGTATATGCTCTATGGGGCGTGTTTAATTTTAAGTTCGTCCGACGGATGGCGCTCTATATAGTATATTTGCGTTTTGCCCAATTAGAGATTGGGTGCTTAATCTACGTTAAGTATTCCGACACCAATTCATACATAACCTGTTTTCGTGAATAGCGCGTGGGAGTCAAACGAAACGAAATTGAAATAAAATTAATATAAATCTACTTATAAAAATTATGTAAAATACTTATAGTAACTCATCAATTTGAGAACGAAGGGGCCGATTTGACTAAACATTTCTTTCAATTATCTGCAATTAGTGTGAGAAGGTTTTTACGAAAAAACATTTTGAGAAAAATACGCGAAAATCTTGAGAAACATATTTTGAAGGAGCGGCGGGACCGATTTACCTACCATTATGTGGGACATATACCATATAGTAACACTATACCGACAATTTACAGAGAAGATCATTAAACTAGATTAAATACCGAATTAAAGGCAATTTCTAGGGTATTTGTTACAACTTTCAAAGTACCTAAAATCAGACCTTATCCAAAGATAAGGAGGCTTAAAAAACCAACACATGGCATTCAACAATGTAGGATACACCAAAATGTCAATTTAAAATGTTCAATAACTGCTACAATAGATTACAAATACCTCAACAATTTAGGTGTCTAACTTATATGTGCCTTTATTGTTCCTCAAATATATTTTCATTGAGAACGGCTGCACCGATTTGACTCACATTTTCCTACGGTTGTTTTTAATTGCAGTGGAAAGAGTTTTTTTTAATCGAAGAAAATTCTGCACCAATTTTGATGATAGGAATAGTAATTACGCCATCCGTACTAAATTATCTCTTGAGGTAAGAGTAGTTAGATCAGAACTTGACCTTCTCCTGGAAAATGTTTTGGGAAGTCCGACAAATTGATAAACTGAAATACCACACATACTGACATAATTTAATATTTAACAGTAACAATATTTCTTAAAATATTGGGGTATCAGCAAATGAAGGTTTACCGTCTCGAGGAAAATATTATGCGTATTTTTTATATCGGAAATTTGACATAAATTAAATGGTAAATAGTTTCTGAAATATATTTTTCACGAATTCGTTAATTTTTACCAAACCTAAATTGATGCAATTCTGATACGGCAAAACGTTTGCCGGGTCTGCTAGTATATAATAAAATGTTTGCAATTGTTCCTATTTAAGCGTCCACCTGTGACATGGCTAACGAATATCGTTTAGGTGGATTTTATTTGAAAACGTGCTATACCAACTAGCCACTGCAGTTCGTGGTTTATGATATCGGCTCAAAGTAAATGCCCTAAAAAGTGTATGGACAAACAACTGCAAATCCCGAACAAATAAAAACAATCTACCACACAAACCGGTGAAAGTGAAGGGGCGAAAGTGGCGTTGTTGTTGTTGCTGCTGATGATGGTGCCAGGACACAAAATGTTTGCAATTAATGCAGATACACGTTACTAGCAGCAATAAAACAATTCCAACGTTGATGAAAACAGAACAAACACGTAAGACGACGAACGACCAACAACGAAGGGAAATGTGAGAGGTGTACATGACCCGCAGAAATGGCTAAAGTTCACAGGAAGGAGGATTTCGTTTCTTGTGTATTCGCTAAATGTGGACAAGCTGAAGTAGAGGAAGAAGAAGCAATAACAGCAAATGGTACTTACATGTGTATGCAATTGAACATCCTTGATGGCCTTTATCATGTGCAGGCCAGTCTCAACACTGCAGACGGCATGATCTGGACGTGTTTTCCAGTTATCACTTTCAAATTGTGAGACACAATAGTAGCAATCACCCAGTAGCTTGACTCGCAAACAATGATTATCCTGTGGGGGAAAAAGAGATGAGAGGAAAAGAAGTGATAAAAAACTAAAATAAACATATTTTGTGTGCATGTGCAGATGTCCGCACCGAGTTTGTCTGTAGCTTGTAACCTCTCAGGCAGGAGGCAGGCAGACAGACGGATAGACAGATGGGTAGGTAGACGGTTAGTTGGGAAATTATATTCCGTTTTACATACTGCCATTAAAACAGGTGTAGCTACACGAGCCACAGCCAGGATGGTGTAGAATGGATTGTGCATTAAGCAAAGCTATTTAAAAATGACATTTATCCAGTTCAACGGATGGAAACAGTGGTACCGTCTGGATTTATATTCTACATGTTCACAATGTAGAATATTGGTATTGGGTAACACTGTAGAGGTCGTAGTATTTAACCCATATATGCCGAGGGTACAAAATGGAGGATATCTGTTTTTTAAGTTACTGTGCTTACTGCACGTTAAATGTTTCTATCAGAATACTCGTTAAAAATTAACAAACAGTAAACATAACAGTAAGCATATCTGTTCGTAAATTGTCCAAATAAATGGGGTGTTCTACAATTCATCGCATGTGGATTAAAAATACATGGACCGATTGATGGACATGTGTACAGAAACTCAAGAGGAAATACCCAGTGCTTAGCAAAGTATCCACGTAGATACACCATACAAAACGGCGTATGCCAACTCTTGTGATATTCGGTTTCCCTTTCATTTCTAGTTCCTATTGGTTTGAAATTCTATGCTCAGCTAACGGCATCAACATTGTGTATTTTGTAGGGTTTTACGAGATTTTGACACAATTTAGGTGATATGATTGTAGCACATTTGTTTCGAAAAAGATAAACAATTTAAACAAAGTTAAATACCAATATTCGTCTGTTCCATCAACCCACATTTGCACCCTTTGAAGATATGCCCTCTTTATCTGCCTTAGATAGCAAATTATCAACGTGTCATCGAAAAATAAATATTGTGGTCCACTGTGCACGTGCTGTGCACACACATACATTAGCTCTGTCTGTTAACTCGATATTTGGTAACAATTGCTACCAAATGTTACTAAATGTTGTCTGCTTACACAAAAATCCAGTAAAAGAGAGTTAAGTGAGAGAGCAAGTTTGACAGTTGAACAACAACAAAGTTGCTGGAGTTTACTGAAAGAATTTTATTCAGTAAGATTTTGTAACTCAGCCATTTTCTGATCAGCTGTTTTCTGGCCAAACACAAAAATTATTTAAAACATTTTTTTTTATTTGCAAAGTTCAATTTGAAGTTAATTACAGAAAATGGAAGAAAATCCGTAAGTAATGTATTGATGCAGGGAGCTTAAATGTTCCCGGGGAACATACCAGATCAAATTTTCTTGTATTATTCATTTTATTTTTAATATTAAATGCAATACAAATAATTGTGTTCGTCCTTTGTTTGTTGTTTATTTTGGCGCAAATCAAATGTTTTCTTGAATCAGCTGTTTTTTTTTTGCTAAATCTTACTAAATGTTGTCTGTTTACTTTTTTCAGTATTATCGCAAAAGAGAGTAAGAAAGGCTTACTCTCTAAACTAGAACTTACTGATTAAATGTTACTGGAAAAGTAACCAGACACACCTATTATTCGTTTTATTTCCGTACACCATTTGCCATTTAGTTGACTTACCTCAGCTATTCTATCGAATCGTGCAAAAAGGTCATTTAGTATTTTAACCAGTTGTTGGGCCGAAGTTTTGCTCGCCAATTCTGTAAAGCCCTGTGCAAAGAAAATTGTAAAAGGACAAAACGACAATTAATAATTTTAAACGCTTGATTCTGATAGGGTGTCTGCTGATGTTGTTGTTGTTTTTGTTTGTTGCGGCTAAGGGATGTGAACCGCAGCCATAGCAGTTGCGTTTATTGACTCACCTTGATGTCGGCAAACAGAATGCTCACATTGTCCATGGGATAGACGTAGAGTTTGTTGAATTGTGTCTCGACATTTGGATCGGTACCCTTGTACATTTCGCGGCGTATCTGATTGTTGACGATATTTGGCAAAACTGTTGAATAAATTGAAAAGACACACGAGAATGAGTTGTCACTTAACGTCGGCGGCTTTGAATTATTTTCCTAGCCTCAGTCAACGATGGGTGTTGATTTGAAAATGAATGCCGCATTAATGGTACACAGAATACAACATCTGGTTTAAGGGGTATGCTTTATATTGAGGTACCTGTTCATTTGTATGCTACCTGTTGAATTCCATGGAAGTGTGATTTTGCCCACCCTCACAAGGTTAGATTGAAATTATTTTAATGTCAAACAACATGCCATAAAGTCATTTGAATTTGTACAAATTTTTATTAAGGTCTATGTTGAATATTCGATGGATAATTTATTTTTAGATTTTGTTGCATATACATTATAGATTAAATAAATATTGTTATCAAAAAATACAGAAAATGAAAGTGGCAAAAATGTTAAGAAATATACCTTACTTCATCAAAAAGAAGTTGTTTTTGTACCGAAAATATCTTTGAACAAATTTCAATCTATCTCATCTTAATAAATCATGTTTTTTTTAACTATGGTTATTTTCTCAAGTTCAATATATTTTGATAAAAGCAATATTTATCAGCTGAATGACCTAATATATAGGCTATGTTTATATCACACGACCTGACATTTTCGATCGAAAAACAATAAAAATAAAAAATAAGGACAATTAAAGGCAATTTTAATATTTAATTTATATTTTACAAAATTTTCTGCAATTGCGCTTCAATTGTCGCAATTTAGGTTAGAATTAAGATTTTCTTTGGAATTTAGGTATTCAGACGAGTTAGGTATTAATTTGTTCATATACAAATTTTAAACTTGGAACTATTTTGCAATTGCAATTTACAACTACATATACAATTACCAATACCAACGTGGATAGAAAACGCGAGCTAACAGATGATTAAAAATTTTCGATCTAGTAGCGATATGTTATCATGATGCAAACCGAATTCGAGTTTTCTCAAATAAACCGGAGAGAATTGTTTAGCGTAAATTTTCTTGAAATATTCGTTATTGATTTTAATTGCCTTTTGACTAGAACTTATCATGTACAATGTCTTTGCAATTCTTTGTAAACTATAGAGGGTCCCACTTCATGCCGTACAGCATTTACCATAGATGAGTGTTTTTTTTTGAGTGTTTATGTGTGACATATATGATGCATGAAGAAAAACAAAATAGTTTTGATTTTGAAAATAAATTTGAGTAAATAAATAATTTTTGAGTAAATAAATAAAGTTGTGACGAAATAAAAAAAAAAAGGAATTTCGAACCCAAGTTGCAATTTTTGGGGAACATAAAACTCCTTGTACATTAGAACTTTTTACCGGGTTAACCTACTTTATGAGGATTTATTTGACATATATGCAAAGGAAATGAAAATTGAAACCCACTGGGTTAACGAAATCCGGTTAAATGTAAACGTACTGTAATTTTATTTTAGAATAATGCTTGAAGAGTTTCCCCCTCCATAGTTAACCGCACATATTCGCAAAGGGGTTCATCGGCATGACTGAGTATAAGACTTACCCCAATAATATAGTTGGAAGGAATAAAACTAATCCTCGTTTTAGTCCTTCCTTTTAGTTATATTATACTCAAACAATTCATTCGAGGTGTAATTTTCGTCCCTCTATTTTTTACGGTCATAATATCCACATACGCCGAAACCATATCCTCAAGTTGAAAATAAGAAATCGAAGAATACATTTTTGAACTATCGGAAAAACCTAAGAATACGTTATGTCGTAGTTTATTCTGTTCATCTTCTAAATTTACAACTAAAGTTTTAAAAGTGTTGCGTTTGCCTTATACTAAATGCGAGGTCCACAGAAACCAGTTTTTATCCTTAAGAAACTCTCATTAATTACGGTAAAAAATACTTTGTAAAAGTGCCGATAGCTTAAAATCTTTACAAGTTGTATAAATTACTGTCTATTAGTTATCTAATTACCATTTACCCACTAATTATGAAATACATCTGGCATTTTGTATAGAAGAGTTTTATTTTCTACTGAAAAGATGAACGGAACCCATCCTCCAAGTTCTAATTACATCTATGTTTGATTCGACTTACTTGAGTCCAATAGTTTTTGCGTTCTCTGCAATTCCTTTTCAGATTCCTTCTTGTGTTCCATCGCTTTGTGCGTTTCAATGAACGCCAAGCGTTGCCCTCTGTCCGTCAAATATTTTGTGTACATTCCGGCCACATTAATGGCCGAATAGAGAATGAAATTAGCAAAGATTTGGAATGCAATGCAGTTGGATTTCTGAAAATTTAGAATTGGTACACAAATTAGATGCAATAAAGAAAAGACACACACACAGACATTATGTGAATAAGCAACAGGATATATTTGCCCTTGGGATGGGTGATGTGGAACTTTGTCCTTCAAAGCAAACATTGGCATTAGGAAAATGAAACAAATCATTATTTTAAACTTATCACAATTTCCGGACAAACATTTGCCAACAATTTTCAGACAAGCGTTTGTCGTAAGCTTTCCATTACCGCGCCCCAGGGGACCATTAGCTGACAGTATTGTTTTGAAATTTTCTTATTTGTTTTTTTTTGCCGGTTTGTGTTGATTGATTTTCTACTTACTTCGTGTTTCTGTAGTTTAATTATGGTTATTACCGTAAGATGACAACTCGCTGTGATGGTGCCACCCACAACGCACCACTTGAGCGGCAGAGGCAGCATGGCATATGGAACAAATATAACGAAGAGGATATACCATATGAGGTACTCCCGATCGGCAAATCCCACTCCTTCACCCACGAATCCTGCAAAAAAAAAAAATCGACTTGTAGTCACTTGCTATCATCTAACGTTCGGTTTCCTGTGGATGATACAGCCAATCGAATATCCCTGAAACGGTGTCACCTCAGTACATAGTAAACCAACCTCTAGCTTGGGGTCATTTCTTGTTGGTGTAATTGAATTCCCTTGCGGTTAATTAGATGCACTTACGAACCGAGTGAGTTGTCATCAACTGCTTACCTTGAATGTTAAAAAGTATCCACGTACAGACAGCGGCCCAATGAAGATAGTTGTTGGCAAAACACCGCCAATAGCCAAGAAAACAAATGGACATGTTCGACAGGGCACAGCACACGGACCATGTTATGGCTGTGGCAACGTTAACCTCCTAACATGAAAATACAACGATAACGGTACACAGATATACAACGATAACGGTTCATAAAAGATGTCCGCTAAACCTACCACCTCGACTTTGGTTTCAGCTTCTTTGAGAAACCAGATCATGGCCAGGACAATTTTGAGGATGAAATCCACAAGGTTCACAATGATCAAAGATTTCTGACGCTGGCGATGGGTGTATGTTAAATAGGCCCTCTCCAGTGAGCTTTGTTTGAAGGAGTTCGTCAAGGAGGGACACAGAATACCTTTGATTACGTTGCCACTCTTGAATGCCGCATATGTTTCGTTGTTGAGCGGACGTTCCATAGTTGGTTTCCGACCTTCTTCTTCGGCCTCATAATCTGTGAAGTAACAAACCACAATGAAAAATGTCAACTGCCGGATGAAATTTAGTCAAACGCTTGCCTAGGTTTGTGTTGCCAAAGACGCTGCAGCTTTCTGTTCGTCTCTTTGGCCCATAACGAATCTTCCGCTCCATAATCCGAACTGATTGCACTCGCAAAGGTACTCCACTTTTAGGTTTAGGTTTGCGGAAACTAGCTGCCAGCGTTGAACTTGAACCACGCAACGACGAAGGTGTCTCATCGTCCATTTGAGCTCCGTCACCGGGCATACGTGGTATTTTCGACATGTCTTGAAGATTCTGCGTGCGATTTAAGATTATCCACAATTTAAGATTATCCACAACTTGTAAACACCAAATAAGTATTACCTCTATGTTCTCTGTGACCGAATTGACATTGCCATCAACCTCAGATTTGTTCGCAATGACAGTATCATCGCCTTCCGTGTTTATGCATCCATTAGCCAGCACATCCTGATTGTCTCTTTGTGCAGCGACACCCATATTGTTCACTTCAAGTGTTCCATTGGTTAGTCCGTTCACAACGTTGGACATTTCCATTTGCTGTTCATTTGTATCCTCGCCATAGGCACCATCTCCGGCGGCTCCTTTCACAACAGCGGGTAGTTGCTTTATCGAACTTTCACTTCCGCCTCGCATTTTGTATGTCACAACATTGGCAATGGATTTTGTACTTATTTCGAACTTCTTTACAATAACTTTAGCTGCTTGGTCATGCGGAGGCTGGCTAGATCTGCGTCGATGGCCTGTTCCTGTAACCAAATTACTGTCGTCATCATCCATAATACGCTCGTCAGGATGTCTGGATGTTATAAAAAAACGAACAAATAATAGAAATATATGTTTATACTTCCGCTGGGAAAAAATAGCAATATTAACATGAATCTGAGCTGATAATTTTTGGCATGGTTTTCTACGGAACGAAATACTATTTTTAAACAATTTTCCTTTTTTGTGATCTTGCTCAACTTCTAATCTGATGCGGTTCTCTTTTCAATCTTAGGGATTGTGGACGAAAAATGGGTAAACAATGGCTACGGTACAATGTGAGCAAAAGGGTGTTATCATAGTTGTGGAAAAAAGTGCTTCGTATTTTTAATCAAATAAACTACCATATTGAAACTATTTTAATTTCCGAATACGAATTAGTTTCATTTGTCATAAATGGGATCTGTACTTTGTTTAAAATTATACGGGAGTTATGAAATATGCCACAGAATAAATATTAAACAAGTAAAAAAGGCGTTAAGTTCGGCCGGGCCGATCCTTGGATATCTCCCCTACAATGGTGGAAAAGGACTATATGGGGACAAGCCCAAAACGCGGAACCAATCAGTTAACTTTTTTAATATAAACAAGGGAAAAAGGCGTCATTGCAGAAAAAACATTTCTATGTGTAGGTTTCTGGAGGCTATAACATCGTGTTGGAATTACCGTATAGTTGGAGTTGTAATTATTTAAGGTTCTATGCATAATTGAGGACTTATATAGCTCTATTTCTAACCAAACATTTTGGCATCACAATGCCTTCCTTCACGCTAAATATTGAAAATACCGAAAATGAGTAGGTATAGGCCTAACTGGGGCCAATATATTATATTTCATTCTCGAACTTGGCCGTTCTAGTTTTTTTACCTCGATATCCCCGAAGGTAGAATGATTAAAACAGATGGCTAAATCGGAATCGGAAAAAATGGGCCTATATTTATAATTTTTTGTGAAGGAATTTGATACCCAATAAGTACCCATTGTACCAAATTTTAGCGTATTCGGTTTAAAAACGTGCTCCAGGACCCCAAAATACCGAAAATTGGGGGTACCCTTATATGGGAGCTATGCCTAAACGTGAACCGATATATCCTATCTTCGAACTATGCAAAATTTCAGCACCCTATCTCAACTCCTTGAGAAGATAGCGTGATTACAACAGGTGGACAGTCGGCTGGACATGGCTAGATCGTCTTAGAATTTTACCCTGATCAAGAATATATATACTTTATAGGGTCGGAAATGAATATTTCGATGAGTTACAAATGGAATGACAAAATTAATATATGGTGAAGGGTATAAAAGCGGGTTATATGGGGACTACCTCTTAAAGGGGCTCGAATATTAATCATTTTTGATTTACCAAATACTACTACAAATTACCGAAAATTAGAAATTTGGTGCCTAATAAGAACTCAATTTGGGGACAAGCCCAAAACGCGGAACCAATCAGTTAACTTTTTTAATATAAACAAGGGAAAAAGGCGTCATTGCAGAAAAAACATTTCTATGTGTAGGTTTCTGGAGGCTATAACATCGTGTTGGAATTACCGTATAGTTGGAGTTGTAATTATTTAAGGTTCTATGCATAATTGAGGACTTATATAGCTCTATTTCTAACCAAACATTTTGGCATCACAATGCCTTCCTTCACGCTAAATATTGAAAATACCGAAAATGAGTAGGTATAGGCCTAACTGGGGCCAATATATTATATTTCATTCTCGAACTTGGCCGTTCTAGTTTTTTTACCTCGATATCCCCGAAGGTAGAATGATTAAAACAGATGGCTAAATCGGAATCGGAAAAAATGGGCCTATATTTATAATTTTTTGTGAAGGAATTTGATACCCAATAAGTACCCATTGTACCAAATTTTAGCGTATTCGGTTTAAAAACGTGCTCCAGGACCCCAAAATACCGAAAATTGGGGGTACCCTTATATGGGAGCTATGCCTAAACGTGAACCGATATATCCTATCTTCGAACTATGCAAAATTTCAGCACCCTATCTCAACTCCTTGAGAAGATAGCGTGATTACAACAGGTGGACAGTCGGCTGGACATGGCTAGATCGTCTTAGAATTTTACCCTGATCAAGAATATATATACTTTATAGGGTCGGAAATGAATATTTCGATGAGTTACAAATGGAATGACAAAATTAATATATGGTGAAGGGTATAAAAGCGGGTTATATGGGGACTACCTCTTAAAGGGGCTCGAATATTAATCATTTTTGATTTACCAAATACTACTACAAATTACCGAAAATTAGAAATTTGGTGCCTAATAAGAACTCAATGTAGATGTGTGGATTATCTATCCATCGCTACAACAATAATCTGCTTTGAAAAGGACTGATTTTACAATGAAGACAAATGTTGGATTTGATTAATTTGAATTTAATTCGCAGATGCAATTTCGCATCAATATGGGAACTCAACATTCTCGGTTTGAAAGATACGACATTTAATCAAATTCGAAGCTATATAATTGATATAATCAATTTATTGTATAAACGATAGGTGGCGAAGAGGACGTTTCTCAACACGTTAACGTCTTCAACATAATGTTTTCTTATTTGCCAGTCGGTTAAAGATGGTCGATATTTGAAATCGAAAATGCATTTGACTTTGGAGATGAAATTAGGTAATAGGCTTTTATGTTTTTATCACATCAATCACATGTGAGAAAAGAAAGACGTGATATAAACATCACGATAAATGATGTTATGCAAGTATCACATTCGTGAGTACAGCGATCCTATGCTGCACAAAGTTTTGTAACGCCGCGAAATATTGGTCCTAAGTATATCGATAGTCATATCTCGACTAGCTGAGTCGATCTAGACATAGTGTCCGTCCGTCCGCCACAGTTATGGATCAATCTTTACGAAGTATTGCACGTAGGATGGGTTCTGCCCCTATTGTTTTTGGTAAAGATCCGTTAATATTTAGGGGATGAAATGGACCAAAAACTTTATTTTGCCTGATTTTCTGGTCGCAATTATGGCCAAAACATCGCGAATTTTCACAAGGAGAAGGGGATCGGGCCAAAAAATAAGCATGGCTGTTTTGATAAAGATCTGTCAATATTTGGCTTGTCAAATGGACCCTGAATTTTTTGTGAAAAATGACAAAAATTGTATTCTATAGCGTATATATTTATTCCTGAAGGACATAGACCCGATAAGTTGATAGTATATCCAAAAGGAATGGTTGGCCTTTAAATTGATGCCAATTATATTGTCGTATGTACTCGGATGTGGGAGTTACACATAAATATTTACAGGTGCTTACGTATATTATTTAGTAATCCATTACCACACTGTAGGTCGGAAATATAGCGCTGATTGCTTTGAAATGTTCCATGAGGTTCCAGTTATGGTCAAGGACAACTCCTATAATTTTGATGTTCGGCACAACATCACAAGCCACGGTGAAGGGAATATGGACAAGTAATTAGAAGGACTGTACTGAATATTAGTAACTAGCAAAGTGCCCGCTACTTCGTATGCGGAAAGGGAATACAATAAAATAGTTCATATAGAAATCGTGAATACTGTATAATTTGTTGTACTATAGTTCTGAATTCCACCTATATTTCTACATCTAATATCAAGTTTATTACCATTTAGTACTCTTCATACACATAAGCACTATTTTCCGAAATCTCTTTTTTTAGTTTATTACACAGATTAAAAATAGATCAGATTTTAGCAAATACGTACAGGTTCCACATTTAGTTTTATTTAGCACTTCGAACACATAAGTACACATTTTTAAGACTACATCCATACCATCACCACCACTAAATTTGGTACCAGTTACTTCCAAAACCCCATTGGTACTTCTTTCTAACTTCCGTCAGTGACCCACATTCTAAATTTTAAGTTTCCAGCTTTCTCCGTTACCCAAATCCATTTTCTATTGTATTTACTATTCATACACATAAATTTGATTTTCCAAAGTTGTCTCCATGACTCAATACTACACTTTAACAATAATATAAATTCCAAATCTCTGGGTTCAATCAAATAAAAATTTAGTACCATTTAGTACTTTTCATACTCTTAAGTAATAATTTCTAAAACTACATCAATCCTAAACTCTTACAGTAATCTTAATTCGACCAAAGTCCAAATTGTACCAAATTTAGTACTTTTCGTACTCATAAGTACATATTTCCAAATGTACCTCAATCCTG